GTTATTTTTACACGCCGATCTTAGCTATCCTTTTTAATCCGAAAAACACCTAGCAAATAACTTTGCTTTATCGTTTTCTAGGTTTTTTTTTTTGAACTTCCAATTTTATCGTACTAAAATAAACCGTTGTCTTTTTTGCAGGCTGCCGAAAGGGCAAGCATTCATATGAGCCTGCTGATGGCTTGCGATACAAAAATGCTAACGATGCATAAGAAGCACAATGATATTTATGAGAAATTCCGGGAAATGTTCCCCGATCTGAACGTTGAAAGGGTAATTTTTTTTTTTTTTTTGAACACATCCCCAAAAATGGGTAAAAATTTAGGATTTTTTTGAAGATCAAGCACTAGCAAGCTTTATATGGCCGTTTGGATCATGGTAGCTTCGTTTGGAGATCGGATTGCCCGAAGTACTAATGTTTCTAGTTTTGTGAAGGAGATAAAATGTACTTCATAAACACTTTACGGCCTGGGTAGTTTTACCCTAGGCCTGCCTTAGGGCTGCCTCGTTAACTTGTAACTAGATAGTTTTCCTTTTATCTGGGACGTTCCTCTACAGCTGTCACGCAAGAATCGACGACATCACGACATAGTACCCCGGTGGAACAGGCTTGCGGTCTGGCCAGTGCTAATGGGTAATTTTATTAGCGATAAGCCTGTTTTCAGCACTGTTCTCATGTCGTCTTGTCATCTTTCGTGTCTTCTCATTACTCCAGTCTTATGCGATTTGATACATGCTTTTCATATAAATAGTGGGCCAGAAGGCTGTATTGATGATTTCCATTCCTATCCGAACATTACGTTCGGTATGTGTGTTTACAGCTAAGGGATGAAACACAGACTGCATCCTAACATGCCTTCTTGCATATGATACTCAAATTGACCCCTTATCTCCTATTTTAATATTTCTTTTATATACGCTGTCATACTCTTTTTTCATCCCTTGATTTTCCTGTTTTGTTCACATTTTTGTAAAGCATCTATATTTACATATAGCACAGTCTTTACGTTCTTTCCTTGTCTTCTCATTACTCCAGTCTTATGCGGTTTGATACATGCTCTTCCTATAAATAGCGGGCCAGAAGGCTGTACTGATGACTCCCATTCCTATCCGAGTATTACGTTCGGTGTGTGTTTACAGCTAAGGGATGAAACACAGACTGCATCCTAACATGCCTTCTTGCATGCGACACTCAGATTTACCCCTTATCTCCTATTCCTAATATTTCTTTTATATGCGCTCTCATGCTCTTCTTTCATCCCTAGATTCTCCTGTTTAGTTCACATTTTTGTAAAGCATCTATTTGTACATCTAGCATACTCTTCACGTTCTTTTCTTGTTATCTCTCCTGTCTTCTCATTACTCCAGTCTTATACGATTTGACACACGCTGTTCATATAAATAGCGGGCAAAAGGCTGCACTGATGATTCCCACTTCTATCCGAATACTGCTTTCGGTGTGTGTTTACAGCTAAGGGATGAAACACAGACTACATCCTGGTCATTGCTTGGATGCGTTGATCATTACCGTGATGCAGTATTTTTGAATCGAAATGTATGTCGTTTTCAGGTAACAGAAGTGGAATTGAAGGGTGAGAATAAGCAGCGGTGGTACACATTCTGTGAGCATTTTAGGGAAGAAATAAAAGACTATAATCTTGGGACGATTATGAGGATAGGTGCTGATGGTGCGTACTCCGAATCAAATACAATCATCGTCCCAAAGGTTTCTTTTTTTTTCTCAGTTTTGGTCGTCAAATATTCTCTTCTTAACTGAAAATTCCCCCTCTCGTTCTCCCTCCCTTCCCCTGCCCCCCTCCCTTTTCATTAAAAGCTTTTTCGGAATTTCGGTCGCTCCGTGTTTTTTCATGACTTCCAGAGATTTTTTAAATCCGGCGAAGTGTTATAGTTTTAAGGAATTGACAAAATTTTGTACGGTTTTTGACTCAGTTTTCTTCGGATCCGCACAAATATAGATGGTTTTCGCGTCTGTTTTTCGGGCCCGGCAATTTTTTTGTTCATAAGCAGTCGTAACTGACCAAGAATTGGTAGTCGTTGTACCATCGAAACCACCGGCTTTTTAAATTAAAAAATAATTCAATCCAAATAAAAAAAATTGCTAAGGACCCCATTCATACTCGGTCCTCATGTAACGATCGGAGGGTGGCCTTAGGTGTGAAGCTGCGGAGGGCACATACCCAAACTAATAAACAATTCTTTATTAGTACAGAAACACAGACCCCAAAAAAAGAAAAAAAAAAAAATCAGAAAACAAACCGCAAAGAAAAAAAAAAAATCTTATAACTCGGTAAAAAAGCAAAGAACAGTTAAGGGGGGTAAAATTGCATCGTGAATTTTCAATTCTTTCAGATCATATATTTGGCGATCGAGATTGCCCGAAACAAAGAAGGTCTCAACGAAAGACATAAGGAAAGTTTCAAGATCGAGCACGAGAAAATTAGCCGT